CCCGATGCGGCGGCGATAAGCAGCTGGCTTTGTTTGCTCCTGAACACGAGGATGTTGACAGAGATTTCCATCACCATCGACTGAGAGAGGGGGAAAGTCCCCGTGCGTCAGCAGTCACAGCCTGCGGGAGGGGGCCAGGGCTGTGTAACCCCTTCCTCCAGGCAGGTAGCACTGGGGAAAAACTCCACCATGGCTTTGTCGCTGCACAGGGACCAGTTAAAAACCCTACAGACACACAGATGGCTCCAGCATCGCACTTTGCTCCGAGGTCTCGGCCTCTATTGACTGCAGCTGTCCTGGAAAATCAGATTATAGTGCAAAACCCTGACATTGAGTCTGCTCTGACAAGTCAGGTCTTCCATCTCCTGGCTAGAGTGTCAGGATGAAGAGCACATGAAGGGGAGTCAGGGGATAAACCTCCACCAGCTTTTCCTCTGGCCTCAGCTGTGTCTGAGGAGCTGCAAACCCAGAGCTCCTTGGCATTTCCTGAAGCCCATGATGGCCATGGCCATGCTTGAGGCTTGGGGTGGGAGAAGAAGGATCTCACCCAGGAATCATGCACAGGAGCTCTTGACCCAGCTGGTCACCCTTGTCCATTGCCAAAACCATCAGAGTTCTGCTGACCACTCCTCCTCCTCCTCCCACTGGAGTGCTTTAGGGCCATTGAACAGGGATTAACTACAGATTTAAATGCTCCCAGGGCAGCAAAGGGAAAAGCTCATCCAACCCAACAGTGCCACCCAAGCTCCAGGCTGGCACCCAAGCTCCAGCATTGGCACCTCAGTGTCATCGAAGCTCCAGCGCTGGCCCTGGATTTGCCGGGCTGTCGTGTTGGCCATCACCTCCCTCTTGTGCAAGCCCTGTTACTTATTTGCATTTTCATTGTGTGCCTGCCTGGCTTCTCACCAGAGCGATTTATTTTCCACTCCAGCTTCGATGTGACTGTTCAAGCCTCCTTTTCCAGCCGGGATGCGGCCGCAGCACTGGAGATCTGTCACACAGCTAAAGACATTTATTTCAGTCGAGAGCCCCGCAAGCGCCTCGGGTGACACTTCATTTGCAGTCAGGGAGAAAGATGCCAAGTGTTGCTCCCTGAAACCAGTTGCTGAGACACACTGGGGGCATCGGGGGTTCCCACCTTACAACAACTCCAGGCTGCTTACCCCCGCAGCCCCCCGCTCCCTCCCACCCCACGGGCTCTGCCCTGCCCCACTCCTGCCCTCCGGCCCAGCCCTTCGAAGGGATGCTGCCGGCAGTGGGTGTCCAGTGAACCCCCCCACGGTGGGGCAAAACCCGGATCCCCAGCTGCTGGGGGTCAGACCCCAAACCTGCCTGGGGGGGGGCCGCACCCAAACCCCCCATGGGGCGGCGGTGATGGGTGTGGGGGGGTGCAAATACCCCCGTGGGTGCCTGCGAGCACCCTCCGAGCCCCCCGCTCCCGCGTGTGCGCAGGT